ATTTCACTATCACCATTAGTTTTAGTAACTATTCAATATATTTAAACTACCTTAAGGAATATAACTCCTATGGCAGGTAACTGTGAAGTGTTACACATTTTTATCTGTATTTTGTCCTTTTTTTTAAAACAAGCAAACAAACAAAACTATTAATGAATGTTCCCAGGCATAACAGAAGATGGCTAATAGTACCTTCCAGCAAATTCTGGAGTAAACTTTGCAACAGAATTGTAACACTGGACTTGAACAGCACCCTACATAGCTAGGTGGCTAACAGCTTATGCCTGAAGAGATATATTTCAGCTTGGGTCAGTACTCAAACTGATCCAAGTCCATGAAAAAACACATAGGAAAAAAAAAATTAATCACACTGGTTTAAATTACTAATATGTTTAATTTATTAGTAGTTAGAAGTCCCAACCAATGTTCATCCCCTTATGCTGCTTGTACCCTAACTACTTGCATTGTGTGCAAATAATTAGGGTACATCTCTTTGCCTAAAACATCAAAATCCACTGCTTGATTTTAACCATCCTATAAAACATATGATGCATCCATCTAAAGAAAACAAATATTCTTTTCCCAGATATTTATCCACCAAGAAGAGCACTTCCAATGAAGATCAGCATTGTCGCATACTTGCAGCTGCAGGTTTTCACCAGTATCCTAATATAACAGGATCAATCCAAATGAACAAGTCTCTTACACATACTATAAAGTATTCTGTATAAAACACCAACGTTGTTCAATGTCAGTCCTTTCATCAAGCCATGAGCAAGTCACAACTCCAGCTGAATATACACAAACACTTTCACATCTTAGCACATAAATGCTTCAAGAAAGCATTCTTGAAGCATTCTATCTCCTAAAATCCTATGAAATTCCCTTCTAAAAGATGGTAAGATTCAGACAGGAAGAGGATGAAAAGTAATGCATCAAGAAAAAGATGAAGCACATTTGTTGCACTCCTGGAATGCCTGTGGTGCTAAAAGGGACACTGAGAACATGCAAAAAGTAACAAGAGCATTACTGTTCCTGAGTGCTGGAACCAGGGATTGTAATACATGATAGGACAGTTCTTTGTGGTTACAAAATATTGCAGCATCCATAACTGGGAAAAAAGTACACTTAAATATCTGAGGTCAGCATTTATTTTCAAATTAATTGAAAGGTGGGTTTTTTTTTGTTTTTTTGTTTTTTTCTTTTCTTGTATAATCTGCAGAGATTGCTACAAGATGTTCACATAATGACTTCTATTATTCTGTTCTAGCCTTGCAAAATCTCCTGGTAACCTGATGCTACTATAAAAGAGCCTTCTATAAACGTGAAAATGACATTAAATCAGAGGTGAAACTATTAAAAATAATTCTGCAGCCCACTGGACTGTGATGAATTTGTCTCTGCCCTTACTGAACATAAAAATGCTAAAAAAATAATAGCACCATAAACTCCACTGGGGTTTCTTATGTAATAAAAATTAAATCCGTTCATTAAAATTCATCCTAGAATGACTTACTACAACTGTTGCCCTAGATGTTACCTTTGAGAGAATACTTAAAAAAGAAAAAATGGAGCAACATTAAGAACTTGGAAAATTAAATAACCACTAACGTTCACAGGCCGCTCCAAAAGTAATGCCTCCTATTTATTTCCATGGAAAATACACCAAATAATGCAGTAACATTAATTGATAGAGAACATTCTCACCTACAAAACATTCTTTTTCAACACAGTCACCACCATTGGCTATGCATTTTTGCCAGTGATGAACAAGAGCCTGCGTGCAGTGCTCATAAAAATCTGCACTTGTGGAGATGAACCATAGTTGTAACAGCTGAAACACACTGCTCACCTCCTCACTGTGCTCACATCTACTGCTTGGTCTCTACCAACGTTCAACAAACACTGATGAATGCTAGTGGGTACCATTTTTTCCACATGGAGGAATTCAGTTTCACCTTTTGATTCACATGGACTCCCATGTCAGTCACTACTGTCTCAGACTGTCCCTCTGCTGCCTCCCGTCACACAGCAACACAATGTAATGGAATACTGGCAGGAAGGTTCGTTTCAACCTCTACTGCTGTACAACCAACACAGTAAAACTGGAGACATTACATTCAGAGCAGCCCTTGTGTTTTGTACTTTTAGATTTAAGATTTTAATTATACTTTGGATAAAGTATTTTTCATTGAGCTCTGAAATTTTAATGTAGTAACGTGATGAAGCAAACAAAAATAATCCTCTAGCAGCATATTACAGAAAATAGGTTTTACACAGGATTAAAAAAAGCAAATCAAATATGACAAAGTCACTCAGTCACTACAGCTCTATCAAGTATCATTGCATCAGAAATGCTTAAATTCATCTGTTTAATCTTTGGTAGGTGGACCATCAAGGTGGCAAAATAATCTAGAGTGAACAAGGAAGTTTGAAGTGCTAATGCTCATTAAGGAAGATGATTATACTAATCGTTTTCTTGCCCTCATAAAATGCTTTTAGCCTAGTGATTTACTTGCTTCTTAACAAAGTCTGTTGAGATTCCTTTTCCCAGAAACACTGAAGTAGAATACTACTGTCACACTGTCATTAAAAGAAATAAAAAATATTTTTTAAAAAGAAGTCAAGGAAAATGGAAAATTAAGGTGTCAAACTATAAATGAAGGAATATAAAAACCAGATAAAATATTTAACTTTTCCCTCAAACTGCAAACAGTGAATGAGGAGATTGGAAGCAATCCACTGTGTGATTCAGGGAAAAAAAAAGCAAAAACAAAACAACAACAACAAACCACCAAACAATTCAAAGGCATTTCCTGAGATCTGTGAGCAGCTGCCTGAGGAAGGGAAGGAATAGGAGGGCTGAATGCAAGGTCAGTCATGAAAACCTGGCATCCATTACTTTAATTGGGAATTAAAGTAGTCTCACATTAAAGCAGTCTATCTGCCTGGAGCAGCTGTGGTGGGACGTAGGGAATGTTACTGCAATATTTGGATAGATTCTCAAATAAAATTGTAAAAAGGCTCCAGTAATTAGTAAACAATATGAGAATTCAGATCTTGGCACTGAACTTTGTTTGCAGTAACAACTTGATGTTTTTATTGTATTAACTTGTTTACACTGAATAAGCAGCATGGCAATTTAAGGTACGTGGCATCATGAAAGTATAACTTGTATTACTGTACATATTTGTTTACTGATATCTTTTGTGACATTTGTCTCTGCACTGAAATCATCTGATACTTTCACTTTCTTCTAAAGCTTCATAATAGAATGGTATTGTATTATTAATTTGCTTAAATTATATTGCTTGAAATGACGTGGGGCTACATAAATTTGTTGATTACACTGTGATAAAATACCTTTCCAATACATCCAGCTCATTAAGTCCCCTAAATTAAAGATGGTAAAGGTTGTGCAATGCTTAAAAAAAAACATTAGGCTAAAACAATAAAAGTACAGGTAATTAAACTGCCAGTTGAACACAAGTATAATTTCATGCTGGGAATTTAGTCATAATATTAAGCATCTCTGTAATCACAAAAGTAAATCTCTTTGGATTATTAGAAATCCTGTGGTATATTTCTCATATTTTGCACAAATTTATTTTATTAGCCCAATTCTATTCTATTCCAGCAGCTAGCTTAACAGTCTATCATTGTTTGTTGCATATTCTGAATTTCAGCCCAAAATGCTGTGGAGGAGAACATTTGAAAGCAAGTCCATAGCACAGATGATTTTGGTGAGAATCAGCAACAGCTGCAATGAAAAAGTGCTGACTAAAAAAAATACAGTACACTATTTTGATGAAGACAATATGTGATATACCTGTATGTTCTAATTCAGGGGGCCATCATGAGTCTACATTTGTAACAATAGGTTGCCAGCAAAATTCTATCAAATTATCTTACATTGCAAAAAATATTCAAGTAACAAGATTCCTCATGGCCTACGCGATTGCCAGCTACATGTGAAAGTGTCTGCACACGGATTGAAAAGTGCAAGATAGCTTTTACAGTTGGTGCCTTTATATTCTCTTACTTCAGCACTAATACATCACATATTCATTAGCAATGCTGCTTTACGTGCATTTCTTATACTATTATGCACCACACATCAACACGTGGCTCACGTTCTTAGAAGGAAACAACAATACTCTGCATCCCTTCAGCCACTGAAGCATGTATCATTGGTGTATTACAGTGTGACTAACTCAATTGAAGGAAACATCAGTGTTTTGTATCCATTTTTGGTTGTTTTATGACATTTCATATGAGGTGCTCCAAATTAAAAAAAAAAATAACAACTTTCAGTTTCTACTAGAGATCTCGCTGTCAAAGTTACAAAACTACAGGAGATTGAGTTGTTAGAGACAGTAGAACAAGATCGTATCTGGTGATTTGTTCATCTACAATTGTTGTCTTTTTACTTCCAGGAAATATGTCATTCTGCATTTGCTGGTTATTCAGATTGGACCACTCTTCTGATGCCGAAGTATTTACAAGACTTTCCCAGATGACACAGTACCTCGGATACAGTTGGCCTGTTCGCAAGAACTGAAGTAATGACTACACATAGTAATGCTTCTTACTGAACCCTGCTTGATGCTATGTTTTTATCTGGTCACAAGTGGCTACATTATTTTGAAGTCTTAGTTTAACTTTCAACAGTAAAAACACGGCTGAAGAGGAAAATTTTCTTAAGAAAGGAATTCAGTTTGTTATTAATTAATATAATTTCATCAGTAAAACTATGCATTGGAAATGAAAGTGCCCCCAGAATTTGCAACGTCTGTTTAGTCAGGACGCATTTAAGAAGTATGACTAATCTGTCATATGAAAAAAAAGCTGGATTGCTATAATGGAGAAGTGACTGACAACTAAGAGCCATCAGGAAAGCCATAAGACACAATGTGACCTTTAAATGAGTTAACTGTAAGCATAGCTGTCTATTGCAATTCTGTAAAATGAAGAATCGTGTTTGCTTCAGAAGACTTTCTGCATTTTCCAGCTGCAATAAATCTTCCTTTACATTTTATATATAATATCTTTACCTTAGTGTTCAATCTAATGAGAAACTAAATTTGAAAAAGAACAAGAAGAATGAAATGCTTATCTTGTTCATTAGCAAGGTGTTCATTTGAATCTAAGGTATACAATCATATGACAGAGTTCAAATGACAAATGTAATGTGCTTCTTTGCGACCCATTACTTGCAGACTTTAAATTGTGATTCAATGGCCCAGCAAAACATGAAAGTGCGCCCGGTGCTACTGAAGAGAAACAGTCTGGATTCATTTGATTTTATGAGGCAGCCACATCACCGCAGAAGCAAATCTCAGCAAGTTCGTTTCAAGGATGATGGTTGCAACACAAAGACAGTGGATGTCACTGATCTGGATAATAATCCTGCCCAAGACATTGCATTAATGATTGAAAATACAGAAATATCTCAACAACACAAATTTTTGTTACAACCTCCATCTTTTCCAAAGGCTCAGAAGGGGCTTCAGAATATTGCCATACAAACATCTCCTAGCCTCAGGAAACACTTCCCTGTTTTTAGAAGAAAAAAGCTGCTGGTAAGCAAATCACTAACAGAAATGCCAAGTGAGACTAAAGACTGCACGCCAGTAAATGACAATCTTTCTGAACAAGACATTATGTCTTCAGACTTCTGTTACTTAAGAATAAGTAGCCATTTGGAAGATGGATTCAGGAATAGTAAAGCGGATGGTCAGTCAAGTCAAAGACTGCCAGAAGCACAAAAAAATGGACATATCCAAATCCATGATTCCTCAATAACAGAAAAGACAACTGCTTCTACACAGGTGCCTGAATACATTCATGTGAATTTTCCACAAAACAGTGATACTTCCATGGATGCATCAGACACGACCATGAATTTAAATAATTTACTGCATTCTTCTAATTCTTCTACTATCATAAATAGTAATGAAAACAATGAAACCAGCATGCTGTCATCTATTCCTGAAAAAATATACCCTTGCCTACGTGATTCCACTAACGGCAATGATTGTAATCCTCATTCTGACTCTTGTGAAACAGCTAACAGTGATCCTGAGTTGCTTGTAGTCAGCAAAGACACAAGCAGTAAAGAAACTACTCCATTATCACCTCCATCGAATCAAAGTTCATCTCCTTGTTTCCTCAGAAGCTATCTACAGACAGTAGAGAATAAAACAGATTCCAGCTGTGTGACAGTAACAAATGATGATCACACAGTAATGTCATCGACCAGCAGTAATGCATCAAAATCTGTTTCTTCAGTTAGTACTGAAACTGAGAAAAATTCTACTCTGTCTGATGTTTCCCAATGTAATGGCTCTTTAGAAGGATTTCACACGAAGTCTTATCTGCCAAGGAATGAAATAAAACCACACATCAACAAAGAGATTAGTGAAATAAATCAAATTCATTTGACACATGGTGAACTATGTGCTCTACAAGGCAAGCTGCAGTCTGTAGAGGAATCCTTGCTGTCAAACCAGGAGAAGATTAAAGTCCTTTTGAATGTAATCCAAGACCTTGAAAAATCCAGAGCCCTCAGTGAAGGGTACGGTGCATTTTAATATCACAAATTCATCAAAAACCTGAAGCAGATGTTATCACTCTTTTAACTTTTGCTACTATATTTTTTCTGTGAAACACTCAAAGATGAGTTTGCAAAAATAATCTCATTCAGTTTTTGGGAAGTTTGAGCCTTTACAGAAAAGCAAGTCTCTTTATAGGTTGGCTTCAATTATCACTGCCTTTAGTAAACTGAGCGGAAGTTTATTAGCACTCCATGTTGTTTAGATTTATGTTATCAGGTACAATGCCAGCACACAGCTGACAGTCTCCATCTAGCTAACATCTCTCTGCAGCTGAACAACAAAAACCCAACAGTCTAATGTACTAAGTAATATAACAAATCTACGGCAAGTCAGCTTTCTCTGTCAAGGTCAAATATGCATTTAGTGCCAAAACAGACCATTGCTGAAACAGTTCATATCAGCAAAACCATGCTTCTGTTCAATATTAATTCTGCTTTACTGAGCAAGCAAAAAAATTAGTGGCCAGTGCACAACATCTGCAGGCTTTCAGTGTTGGGACTGTGTTGTTGGTTACGTTTCATTACATCACTTACAACATATTCACTTAAGGGGAAAGCCTTTAGAATTGAAAAAGGCAAAAGACCACATTAATTTTTTAAATTAATTTTATTAATTTAACCTCCAGTGTGTCAAGAAATCTTAGCAGGAAGTGAAGGTGAGGGCTTAAAAGTTATTAAAGCTATGAACATGGAGCATATGAAGATTGTTAGCAAGACTCTTAGGAGTCTCATATTTTAGAATGACTGCTTTCTGCAGTATCAGTAAGAATGCATGATCTGTATTCAGTTTTAGTGAACAGTCTCATATCTATCAGCCAAAGCCACAACGAGTATTTATGTAACATATTCATGAATTATAATTAATATCCATACTACCCACACAACTCATGTCAGAACACTCAGGAAGCAGATATATTCAAATGACAAAGTACTATATTAAATATTTCTGTGGTCAAGTTACATATTAAAAATACACTATTAATGTTCTTCAAACCATTAACAACAGTTTCGGCTTACAGTAAATGTATCCTAGATGCATTTTAAAGTTGTCTTTCATGATAATGTAGTATTTCCATCAAAGAATTTTTATTTTCGGGAAGAAAAACAAAACAGCCAGTGGATCTCTCAAAGAAACAAGCAAACAAGAATTTTGTTTGCTTTTTTAATAAAACAGTGTGCAGTCTAGCTTATCGCACATACAGTTTTAGAAACAACGTAACTGGTTTAGTATGCTGTGCCTGGATGGGATGGAATTAGTTTTTCCCACAACGTCTCATATACTGCATAAAACAGCAGCACTCAGGCACATAAAGTAAATCATTTGTGCACAACTGGTTGTGCATAAAACCGGATCCCTAATGTTAGCATTGTATCACGTGTATCAATAGTATTTCCTGAGTACAACTAAGGAATACACCTGGTAAGCTTATTTTTGTCTGCAACATGACAGAAGGGCTGCCTTGAGATATTTGTGCAGGTTCAATTGCACGTACGAGTCCAGAACACGACAATGACTCACCCACTTGACGAAAACCCAGGTCTTTGCACACATTTTCATGTGGGTAGAACAGGTTTGTGTGGCTGTTCAAAAACTTAGCAGGATACGACAGACTGTGGTGACAATCACGTATGTCAAAATTTTCTTACAAGAAAAAAAATGGCAAAAAGCTATTTTCAAAGAATGCTTGAAGATTTGTTACTGCCTGGAAATATTTTATCATAGAAGTATGTCAGTGTACTTACAAATACACATTACATGAACAACTGTTTGTTACAGGCGCAACTTCTACCACACCGGTCAAGACCTCAACAACTGCAGCACGTGTCAGAACACCGCATGTATAATTTACAGGTACCATGCCTTGCACAGTTTTCCACTGACTGTATATCTCTCACAAATGTACAATGCTATGTCCTGCTCACAGCTGAAAAAGGTCTGATATCATCATCCCTGGTTTTTAAAAAAGAAAAGGGAATATGTAAGGAGCTTTTGTTGTTTCCTCTCTCCCCAGGTAAAGAACAGTTAGCACTGGTGTTATCAGAAGATACTGTACTTTTGGAAATTCAAACAGAAACTTCCATCAAGGTTTCACAGCATTACTAGTATTATCATGCTTTGAAAACCTTTGAAGTTGTTTCTGATTATGAAATTCTGTGTATGTGTTAGATTTTTTGAGATAAAATTTGTCATAAATTTGGATCTTGGAAAACATAAGCAGAACATTCTCCAAATACCATTATGCACCAGTTCTTGCCTGTGTAACGCAGAACAATGAACACATCCCCCTTCTTACTTCAGCAAAGGCTTACTTATTATTATTTTGAAACAGAGCACTTTGAGTCTAAATTACTTTAACTACAGCATGAATTTGTATGAACTTAGTAGTAGTGTGTTCTGCAAACTATACCAATTCCAAGTGTTGCATTCATATTAGCACAGAAAGTCTTTGGTTTTCTGCCCATTAGCAAAAAGCAAGAAGTACAAACTCTCTGTAATACAGCACAAGTAACTGGTCCTCTCAACAATGGATTTTCTAGGACCTCAATCAATTGGTAAACACACTGTCCAGTCAATGCAAGCTCTATTATAAGTCAGAATACAAATCTTTAGCTATTTGATTCCATTATGTTGCATGGAATCTTCAAAGAATGCTGAACAATTGCAGCATAGGAGCCCACCTTTCACTATTCCAGACTCCTCCCAGTACAGACATACTTCGTAGACTGAAGAGAATGAAAAGTTAAGATGTGCGTATAGTCAAAATTTACCATATTATTTTTTACGCTTCAAATGAAAAGGTATCAACTTTTTGTTGGATTTTACAGGAACACACATTACATAGAAATTCTGTAGAATTCATATAGAAATAACCCTTTACCACAGGATACCTTCTCTCTGCAGGAGAATAAACTATGCTTGTTAATGCTGCCTTTTCAGTTTACACAGTTGCAATACAGGAAAGATCTTGAGTAAGAAGTGCAAATATGTGAAGAACAGAAGAAACAGTTAAACACTGACGTGTCTTTTGGGATAGTACATACTTCTTAATGCTAAGATTGCCTGGAGGCTTAAAGAACACCACTTAGTAGAACAGAAGCAAGAACACAGATCCTGCTCTGAAGAATTATTGGTTTTAAGAGACAAAACATAAATCATTAAGGAAATGTAATCATTTCCATTCTCATAGAAACGTCTCGTGAGAAGCAGTTACAAAAAAGTTTCTAAGTAACTAATATTTGATGTTCATTACATTTTGAAGGAAGTATTTGTGTTTATCAGGTTTATTTTAAACAAATCCATGTAATGGGTTTTGTTTAGCCTAAAAAAATCCATACATGTATTTTTTCTATTTGCAGCATGACTGTTGTCTTTGAACATAGAACTAAATGTTTCACCTTGTGCCCTCTTCTGCTCTTCAGCAACCTAAGTCAGTAGTGACTCAAATACAGCACAATGATGTGTTAGTGTCACTGAATCTTCCTCATCATACACAGCCTGAGGCAGTCAGTATACTAATCTGTATCTGTTAAAGAGTTGATTACATGAGTTACTGAAGGAATGAAGAACTTTTCAGTCTCACAGCAGAAGCAAATTTAGACCAGACTGTAAGTTTACCTTTATTATCTAATCAGAAGGGTTAGGTGCAGTACCTTGGGACTTCCAATCTAGTACATATCACACTAATGTTTTTATTATAATAAACACAGGTGGGACTGAAAACAAGCAGTTACCTCAAAAATCAAGGAAAGTTATTAAATAGAGACTGAATTGATCTCTAGAGACAGTTTCTCCAAAATACAAATCTGAAACCTTGAATCAGGTAAGGAAAAAGGAACGGAGGCTTTCCTTTTTTTTTGTTTGTTTTAGTTTTTGATTTATAAAATAACATTTCCTTCTCTGGTGTTCCTGACCTGTGACTAGTGAATAGTACTGTGTTTTAGCCCAAAGCTGATAAAATTGAACAGATGCATCTGATAATATTTTTTTCCTCCAAAAATGCTTGTATTATGAAAAATAAAACAAAAGGTCAGTTTCTTCTTGCTTTCCACTCCTGCAGCAAAAATCTATACTGCAGATAGAGCTGATACAAATCTCATTCCCCTTCCTAGAAAATGTGGAGATAATAAAGAAAAAGCACAGAGTGCTGACTCCTTTTTTGTTTGTTTCTTTAATTATACTGACTGCATCAGAATGCTCTTTTCCACATTGATTCTTTTGAGCCTTACTTTCTGTGCATATATTTGCTCTTATCATCTTAACTCTCCTTCTACACCAATAATAGTTATGGGCTTCCACACAGACATTGTGAGTAGAGTTCTACTTCCTATTTCCTCGGTAATTCAATTCATTTATTTCAAAGACTTATTTATTTATGTTATTTCATACATATTTTTGTCCTTACTGGGGATGAACTTCTCACATTTAATATGTGAATGTTTTGAATTCATGACAGATACACGATTGAGTTAGGTAACAGAATTGAAATCTGAATGTTTAATGAAATGCACTAAAAGATCAACAACATTGGAGTTCTTATGTCATGTAAAGAAAGAGGATTTCTTCAGAAAATATTACTAGATTATCTTATATTCAAGGCAGCAAAATACACTGCATTTTAACCAGGCTCTTATATTGAATGCCTCATTATAACAGAACCACAGAATCATAGGGGTTGGAAGGGACTTCTGGAGATCTAATCCTACCCCCTGCTAACACAGGTCCCAGGCTGCAGAGGAAAGTGTCCAGAAGGGTTTTGAGTATCTCCAGAGAAGGAAACCGCAACTTCTCTGGGCAGCGTGTTCCACTTTTCTGTCATTCTCAAAGTAAACAAGTTCTGATGAAGAAACTATCTGTTCTAATGAAGTAAGCATTTAAAAAGGGAATTTTTCATTTATTAGCTCACATCTCTTCATTTTTCTAGCGTAGAATATGACTTCAGACAACAAGAAGGAAGATTTCAACAGATTTTGAAAAGGCTGGATCATGCAGAGCAAAATCCAGCTTCAGGTTCGCCTCAGAAGCCATCATTTGATCATTCACTTCACGAGAAAAAGGAGTTGAGAAAGAAAACAAAAAAGGTGAAAAAAAAATGCTTCTGGTGGATTTGACTTCCTTACAGATCTTAAACTGAAACAATTTTTATATTTCAAATGACAGTAGAGCAAAAAGAGGTTTGGAAGCACAGAAATGAAAATATACTATTATGAAATCACTAAAGAATATTTAATTGAGTATCAAATCAGAAGAATTATATAACTGAATAGAGACACATGAAGGGACTGTTTCTGAAGAAGAAATTTAAGTTTTCTTCTTTTTTTTTTCCTGTGATGCTCACATTCTTTGTAAAGACATTTTTGTTCAAGTTTCAAAAAAAAAAAAAAAAAAGACAAGACGATGGTAGTCAAACCTGCAGACTTCATTTCATATTAAGCAACACAAACTAAAGAAAAGGAACTTCACTGACCTTTAGACAGACTGCACAATCAAGTATAAGTCCAGGGGAATCTCCTCAGAGGAGATAATTACAATTATTTCACATCTGCAGTGAAATATATTGGTTGTTGTCATCTACAATTTAACCATGAAGAATTTCAGGTTCAAGTTTTATTCTGTTCTTCTATCAGTTCAATTTGAAAAGGAATTATTTCAAAGTATGTCATTTAATAGATTTCTTGTGAAATATAGCTTAAAATTTCAAAAAGAATATCATAGTAATTCTAGATCTAATTTCTTTCCTAAATGAGGTCCAATTAGATCTATTTTAGTTTTAAGCATCTCCAGTGATGGAGAATTCATAACATCCAAGGGCAGCGTTTTCCAGCATTTGTCCATTTCCACAGTGAAAAGAACATCTGATTATATTTTACTGAGTTCTGACTTGTACTCATTACATCTTACTCTATCCCAGTGCACCTTGGCCTGATGAATAGAGAGGAATAGCCACTTCTGCTTTTGTATTGCTAAAACACTCACCTAATTCTTCCCAGTTGTACCTCTATGCATTTAATATCTGTATTGCTAAATCGAAACATTCTAAGGCTTTGGTTTTTTTTGTTTTAGGAGGGTGAATGACTTTATGAAGGCCTATTAAATACAATGTAGATTAGTTAATATTAAAAAAAATTGTCTGTTCTGCAGAATTTTTCTTAAACTCTGGTTAAACAGTTCAAACGATGCCAGGGTTTTCAACAGTCTTACCTCCAGATCCTCCTTTTTTATACCATATATTATTAGTTCTTGTAATATTAGTTAAAAATGTCTGTTCTTTTTGTACACTTGTGTTTCTCCAGTGCTTAGGGTTAACCAGACATTTGTCAGAAAAGACCAAAGATTAAAAAAACCAGTCTTCATTTACAGTGATGCTATGTCACATGGCTTAATCATGAGTATCATGATACTAAAGGACAACAGTTTTAAAAATATGTTAAGGACAATCAGTATGGAGTTGACAGACATAGAATTATTATTACTTTAAAGGCCTTTTGAAGGGAAAGCTGTATGAAATGTTACGAGCAAAGTTATATGCCTTTAGTGAGCCAGAAAAGTTTGTCAGTAATGGTTTGTGGATGTAGTAGGCACCAGAATTCATTAAATAAGAGTATGTAATTTTATCACACCCATCTACACACACTGCTTATGCTGGCATTCCAACAGCATTCCTATTTTGCATTACTGTAATTGATATGCTGAAGGATCTCTTAGTGTGCAAAGGTTGCTTGTGTATTAAAATATCATTTTAAGATGAATATCTTTGGAGGACAAAGGTGCAATAATAAGCAATACCAATAAAAGCAATACCAGCAAAACCAGTGAGTTTATTCTTGTACTAAGCTGATTTTCAATGACCTGCTATTATGTGAAAGTCATCTTCTTGTCCTTTTTCTTAAATAAGTACAGCAAGGCTCATTTTAATGTCTGATTTTGTTTTTGCATGTATCCCTTCAATAAAGACAGATTATTGAATTTAAACCTATCACAACATTTTGATTTGCCACATCACACCAATCAATTCTTGGAGAAAGTAAAACTGCACAAGAACACAAATATGCTATTTACTGTAGGAAAGTCCATTCAAAGAAGAAGGGCACTAAATTCTTACATGGAAAAAAAATATGAAATCAAGAGTTCACCTAAAGCACTGTCCTTCATAATGCTGAGTTGGCTCAGAGTTGCCAAGAAAGTTGATTTTAACTTTAACAAAGTACAACATAAGAATGCAGATAAGGTAAGAAACCACGTGCTACGTGAGTCAGCAGCGGCCACCTTAAAAACTTCCTAGCCAAACATGTTCTAGAAATGTGCGTGGACAGAACTCATCTGGCTTCCAGTAGCCCTGATACTACGAACAAAAAACCCACAACAATTTAACTTAAAATGAAGTATGCCAGAATTAAATTATTCGTACAAAAGATTAAGCATCATAGTTTCACAATAAAACCAGCTATACCAAAGGCAAGAGGTTATGATAGTGAGTTTTCTCACTATATCACACAACAGACTTAGCACAGAAAATTTTAAAAATAACACTGGAACAAAAAAAACTACTGGTTAAATTAAATAGTAATAGTGAGAAGACATCAGCACAGCAGGATGACAGCATTGGAGAAGCAATGGAAAGGGTAGATAAGCAAATAATAATGGCTAAAAGAATAACGGCTAAAAGAATTTTGTTGACTTAATTCATTGTGTAATGCCTGAAACCATCACCAGAGTAGGAATTAAATGTTACAAATCAGAATAAATAAATTAAAAAAAAAAAAACCACCAACCAAAGCTAACTGATAACACTCACATACAAAATACTCAAATACTTTCTCTGAAGACATTTAATTGACAACTACAATGTGTGATTTATAAAATATTGTACAGCTCATAAATTCTAGACCTACTTTAGTTCAAATTGCAGTTTTATGGAGTCAACCTAACTTCCCTTAAAAATTCCAAATGTGTGAGAGGGGTAATGACTGCTTTTTGTCATGTACTGTCAGGTCATGCAGGGTTTTCTGTTGTTTCATGTAGCTCTTCTGAAAAAGTCACAATACTTAGTAATTATGCTATTTTAGATTCAGAATATCTTTCTAATGAAATATATCACCAAATGTATGTTTTGTAAATCTTTATGTTCTTTAAATGGGGTGCCATCTGTTGAAATAAAATCTTTTTCTTAAGTTTCAGGAGTTGATAAATAACAAACAATATTTTGATTTCAAAAGAAGAGAACAGTTGTTCTTTGGAAAGAAAAAATAAATGGGAAATGAATAAATGGTTCTTTCACAAAATCACTTTGCAGTTTTTCTAGGTAGAGAAAATGTCTGAATCCAAAAACTGAACAAAAAAGAGGCTTTAGCCAGTTTATTTTAATGTATGTTTTTTTTTTTTTTTCTAAACAATGTCAGTTCCATAAAATGGTTTTTCTGGTCATGATCTCCTGAAAGAGCAGTTCGGGTTATTAAAGCACTGTGGGTTTTTTGTTTGTTTTGTTGTTTGTTTGTTTGTTTCAATCCTGGGAATTTCCTTTGAAATGTTGGTTGTTTACATCCAGAAACTTTACATTTATTTATGTCCACGGTGGAAAAGTAATAAATACAAATCTCTGCCTGATTGGTTCTTTTACAGCAAAGTCTTGATTTGCACAGTATCTTACTAATGTTGTCAGACTCTTCTTGCTAACTATTTAACCCTCTTGACCTTTGTTTAAACTAACAACGAGATGAAGATAAACTTTGGACTACCAACAGTGACCTTTAAAACGTCTACCATGCATCTGCAAACAACACAAAACCAATGTTTTTGTTTCCATAAACAAGCTGATACAGAATTAAGTACTTCCCTATTCTACATGCTTCTCTATATTTTGCTTCTTTAATTACGTCCATGGTACTTCATTGCACCACTGTGTCCTGTAAGTAAAAGCCAAGATTCACATCAAGATTCCAGTACAGAATAAAGAATTAATCTCACAAAATAAACTCGCCTTTCCTTATTACAAGATTAAAAGCACTTCAGTGATAATCACTAAGGAGACTTATTTGTTTCTTTTTCGTATTTTAACTACTGCAAACAAAGCAAGACACCATTATAGCCTTCAACTGCCAAAACACCAAAGCAAAGCCTTCAGTGCCATTTAAGTGCCTTCCCTGCAGTAGCTGCAGGGAGCTAAATTACTTACCCATTACCGCCAACTTCTCCTGAGGAGATCATGTCCTTCTTAGTCTGACCTTTTCCAGTAATTACACGAACAAAGCTCACAGCATGTTGTTACCTGCTGTGCACAATGAAGAGCCTTCCCCGTGCTTCAAATGGTGTTGTAGCAAGCAAAGATTAAAGCTAGAAGTTCTAAGCCAAAAATCCATAGCTCCCTCTGTTAACAATCTAGAAGGTTACAAAAACCTCCTCATCTGACAGAAGGCAAATAAATTTCAGTAGACTTAACAGCTGCAAACATTTACACCTGCAAAGAATTACAGGCCTTGTAAACTGTAAACCTTGTCCAGCTGCAGCTATTCTGTGTCCACCTACACTGACAGAGCACATCATGCTTTTAGCTACTTGAGCTCACCTAAGCATTCTGCAGAAAGCCACACTTCCTGACTAATTTCTGACTAATTCTGAAAAATTGTTCATTTAGGCTTTAAAGAAGTTCTGCCCTATCAAGTTTTGCCCATTAAAGCTAACCTGCAAAGTAAGTAACTGAACTGAAGACAGTATGCAGAACATGAAATGAGCTTGTTTTCACTTGTGCTCCATTTCTGACTGCAGATATTAATTTGTACTTCACAAAAAAAAAGAATAATATGTACAAAAGATTATCCAATTATCCCATTATGAGGTCTTGCCTCAGCTCTAAAACACCCTTCATTTTTGCTCTGAGAAACCTCTATAATGTGATACACACACACTGTAGGAGGCGATGCAACAACACACACAGGTGATGGTGAGCATTATTACCATTCAGACATCCACATGCCTAAACAAATTACAGAAGATGTCAAAAAAAACCCTAAAATATGTTAGTTGACTGTAAGCATCTTGTTTCTTAGTGTTTATTAAGTATTATGATATGTTTTGTAGGATTAAAAGTTTTATTTTGCTTCTGCATTTACTATTC